GTCTTGTGTAGGTGAAGAAGTCTCCATCTGGAAAACAAATCGTATACCCAAACTATAAAGAACTAATGCACTTGACATTTGCCTGATGGAAGTTGGAAATTTATGTAAGAGGAAGATAGAAACAGGAATTTAAGAAATGAAAAGAATTGCATGTATTAAATAACTTAAAAAACAGAAATTTGAGCCGCCCACAAATAGCCCAGAATGACCAAAACTATAAAATCAAGTTAAACAAAAGCATAACGCAACATTAGGAAGTATTTGGAAGATAAAGAATTCTGTGGTTCATCATCAAGGAGAATGCTTCCTACATTATTATCCTCAAAGTTTTGTAGGAAAACAAGTGGAAGGATGAAGGGTCATATCTGGCTAAATGAAGAACCATATATTTAAGTGTATTTTTAGCAGCTTAAAGTTTACCAGTAATTTTATGCTTTTGAAAAAGTAATATTTTTAAAATAGTAAAATTACAACTATCATTCTGGAAGGAATAAGCTGTTTTATCAACTTGCACCAAAGTGTTGTTTCCCTCTGCTTACTAAACTAAAAGCCAAGTCTCTTGATCATTGCAAAAAGTGGCCAACATGAAGGACAACTCTCTTCCGTCTAGAGCTGACTGATTAACGTGCCTCAAAATCTGATGTGGACATTCACAGATATCTTAGCTTTTTGTCCTTAGTTGTATATCAGTCCCCAGGGGAACCACTCGCTGTCATAGAAAGGCCTGTCTTTCTGAAGATCCACAGGTAGTTCAAAGGCTTTTCCCACTTTGTCTGAGGGCAAAGTGAGACAGGCCCTAAACAGCCACATTTCTTGGTAGCACTATGGTCTTACTCACCTTCTTTAACTCCCTCTTATATCCTAGCAGACACCCCAGGTAGATTAGACCCACACATCAGGGCCAGTCCACGAAGTGTGTTTTATTCCTAAAGTTAAGCATTCTAGGAGGGAAATTCTACCCTATTTCCCCAACTGATGCTTTTTTGAGATGAAATACCTTTCATATTTCTATTTTGTGAAAGGCGTATACCACAAAATAGCACAAACTTGCACATTTACATATGGAAATTCTTACCTCAGTCTATAAACATAGCCTTAGGTAGTCTTGAAGCTATTTGAAACAAATCGGTATGAATTAGTTTGTTTAATTACTGTGGTCTAGCTGTACTGATGTCGAACAGGATTAGATCACCATAGCTACCCATTAGGGGAGCAGGCAAAGACACCTAAACAATTACTTTACAAAAGGCTATAAATGTCACTATGGCAATGAAACCCAAATAATTAATATCAGAATCCAGGTCTGAGCAGTTTGGCCCCTTAGATAGTTGCTGCAAATCAGTAACCACAGCCTTAAGAATGATCCTACTTCAAAGAATTTCTAAAATACCAAAACAAAACAACAGCAACAAACAATTTCTGAAATGCCTGTGGTGTTTTCTTCTGCCTTAGCATGCTGAAACTACTTTAGAGGCTATTTTCTAAGTCATTGCAGAATTTCCTAGTTTAGAGAGGTGTTGGCCTAAAGTCAAGTGAAAATAATTGGGCTCCATGTGGCTGGCATCTTTAAGAGCAGGCATTTGAAGTCGAGAAGCTCTGCAGTAATCTCCTCAGCCCTCCCCACCCTAGAGGTCTCCCAGAGCTCCTCACCCACAGGTATGGTGCGGCCCTGGATCTTGTCAGCCCAGCCTGCATAGTAGCGTAATCCTTTTATACTGCTTGCTACATCCACCAGACATGCATTAGAAAATATTTTTCCAGCATTAGTTGCCTCCATTGTCTGAAAAACAGATTAATTTCAAAATGTAAAACTCCACATTTTTAAATTCAAACATATATGACCAGGATGTTGAGCAGTCATTTGAGAATTTTTGACCTAGAAGAAATAAAAAATCATCTTGATTAATTTTCTTTTTATAAAGGGATTCAAAAAGAGTTATAATAACATATATAGGATCATACTCATGAGCTTTATAGTTCATAAAGTAGAGTACTCATTTGTCTCATTCTGAGTGCTTTCTGCTTCCCACCTTTCAAAGAGTTGGCCACAGTTTGATGAATCCCATGGTGAGAACAGTGTGGAGTCTTCTTTCTTCTTTTTGTCTCTTGAGACAGGGTCTCACTATGAAGTTCAGGCTGGCCTTGAGCTCATTTTGTAGCACTGGCTGGTCTTGAACTGAAAGTTTTCCT